TCAAAGTAATTTCCGTATTATAGTTTTTTGAGAAAGGATCTTGCTATGTTGTCCAGGCTGACTTCAAATTCATGCACTCTGTCAATCCTCTTGCCTCAGCCTCCTGAGTAGCTGAGACTATAAAGACATGCCACTTCACACAGCTCCCCTGTGGTAGTTTTAACATATGATTATAAACTGTTTGATACCTTTTCATCTAAAAGCTGAATCTTCTTTTTCTTTTGGGTATGAATAGTACTTATTTCCCATGAAAAGTATGGAAAGAAGAGCTGGGCTATATCTCAGCATTTGCAAAATCCTGGCTAGCACTACAGAAAATAAAAATAAAGGCCACCAGGGTACTTGCCTCCTGTGGGCAGCCAGTGCAGGCAAGGAGAAACAGCCAGACCCGCCCTTGTGTGCATGCTGCCATCAGGATGCTTACCTCCTACAGGCAACCAGCATGCACAAGGACAAACAGCCAGACCTTCCCCTGAATGCCTGTTGCCATCCAAGTGTTTGCCTTCTTCAGGTAACCAGCAAGGACAAGGAGAAATAGCCAGAGTGGCCCTTGCATGCCTGCCATCGTTGGGGTGCTTGCTTCCCTCATGCAACCAGCCTGGGCAGGGAAAAACAGCCAGATATGCCCCATGTGCCTGCAGGGAGCCATTGGAGATGTTTACTTCCTGTGGGCAGCCAGCACTGGCCAAGAGAACCTGAAAAACATGCCTCTGTGTGCCTACCACCATTGGGGGAGTCCTGGTGTAGCCACACAGACCAAGAGAAGAAGCAACCCCACCACCTTGCGCCCATGGCCATCAGTGCCTTGGTGTAGCCACACAGATCTGGAGAAGCCCACTCCATATCCCACTGTCTCCCCAGGAACCTGGATTAAGATAATCCCAGGTGCCCATCCCATTGCTCTACACCATGGAAGCACAGCCAATGCAGGAAGTGCCTGGGACCCTGCAACTGGCTTGTCAGGAGGAACCCAGGAAAATGTCCGTATGAAAGAGCAAAAGGCAATCTCAAGCCTCCAGCCCACACAGAATAAGCCCGGGAGATATAGACATGGGAAAAAAATGCAAATCACACACCTGAAATCTCTGAGAGGATAGCAACTGAAGTAAAGAAACAACTTCATGAGGTTGTAAAAGTAATCAGATCATAAATTATATCTCAGGTAAAATAAATAGCAGAAAACTTCCCAAACATTGGAAAACAACCTGACATACAGATAAGCAAGGCATATAGGACTCCAACTAGCCATAACCAAAATAAATCTACATCTAGACATATAATAATATGACAGAAATTCAGCACAAGAACAGGATATTAAAAGCTGTGAGAGAAAAGAAACAGATCATCTATAAAGGAAAACACATTAGAATTGCAGCAGACTTCTCAACACAAACCATCAAGTCAAGAAGAGGTTGAAGTGTTTCAAATCCTGAAAGAAAACAGCTTCCAAACCAGATTGATGTACCATGAAAAGTATCTTTCATAATTAATGGAAAAATAAAATACTTCCATGATAAAGAACAACTGAAAGAATTCATGACCATCAGACCAATCCTGCAACGAGTGCTGAAAGGAAAGAGAGAGAGAGAGAGAGAGAGAGAGAGAGAGAGAGAGAGAGAGAGAGAGAACCCTGGAACAGCAGCAGAGGGGGGTTGCTGAGCAGGACAGGCAATTGAATAAAAGGGAAAAATGGTGGGGGGCAACAGTAGGAGGATAGCATGGTAGAGATGAGCTGATGCATGTGGATTGTAACTATTAATATAGAAGGCCTCAATTCACCAATAAAAAGAAACACAAGGAGAGTGGATCAAGAAGATCCATCAATATTCTTTATACAAGAAACACATTTGATTCACCAAAAAGCAAGCCCTCCCTGGAAACCAGCACATGTGTAGGCTGCCACTGGTGGGGGGACAGCCAGATCCTAGCCTTTCCCCATGAATCAGTGCCATTCATGGATTGTGGGGGGAGATAACAAGGATTCACCAAGGAGCAAGCACCCCCCTATAAACCAGAATAAATCCTTTAGCATCATTAATATTGTTAATTTTGTTTTGTACCAAGAATCAAACTCGGGACCTCATGCTTGTCAGGCAGGTACTGTGCCACTGAGCTATATCCCCCAACCCTATTGTTAATTTTTATAAAGCCTACTAGGATTATATGTAGTATTAACATCAGGGGAAGATGAGTGATAGGTGTATAGGAACGGTATTATCTTTATAATTATTTCATAAGTGTAAAATCACTTTATATAAATACTTATATAGTGAAGAAATATATATTTGCTAAAACAAAAGAAAAATGAAGTGAATATAATAATAGAATTCTAGAAGAGAATCATTCCATATTGATAAAAGTATCTACTCAACAAGAGGACATAGCAGTCCTATTGCTCTTGTAGTCACTAAAAGAACTTCAAAACAGAAAAGGATAAACTTGCATAATTGAAAGGAAAAATAGAAAAAACACAATTTTAGAGATTTTAGTATATCCCCAGTGATGAATAAAATGAATAGACATAAAATCAATGTCTATAAAAGACTGAAACACATTGTCAAAAATCTTAATTTGCATTTATACATTATGCCAGAAAACAATAGCAGAATATACACTATTTACAGGTATGCTTGAAGCTATCAGTATAGACCATATTTTGGAATATAAAGGAATTCTCATTTTATAAGTTTTGAAGTCACACAAAGTATGTTTTCTGACCATGATGGAATTAAATTATAAACCATAAAGCAATAAATGTGTGAAATAAACTATTTGGATCTTGAATAAGACACATGTAAATAATGTATGGGACAAAAGAGAAATCCCAAGGTAAGTTTAAAAGTATTTTGAACCAGATGAAAATGTAAAAACAACATAGCAAAATATATGAAATGATATTGATTATTTAGAGGATTATTTATATCATTAAAACTTTACACTGCAAAGAAAGAAAAATCTCAAATCAATATCCTTAACTGCAACCATAAGACTATCAAAAGAGAAATTTTAACACAAAATAAGCAGAAAAGGAAATAATAAATATACACATTTTTTTGAGTGTCTCATTATGTAGTTTGGGCTGAACTTGAACTCACTGTATAGCCCAGGCTGGCCTCAAACTCATGGTGATTCTCGTGTGTCAGCCTCTCATATGCTGGGATTACAGGGCACCATACCCAGATATACAAATTCTTAACCAAATTTTAAACAAATTGAATTCTGCGCCATATAGATATGGAAACACATCATAACTAAGAGAATTTTGATTCTAGTAATGTTAGATTTAAATATCAGAAATCGGTGTAACCAATGTAGTTCAACATTAAAATATTAAAATACAATGGTAACTATTCTGACCATTTCTGTTCAACATTGTATTATAGGTTTTAGTTGGAGCAATAAGACAAGAAAGAAATGTACGTATATTGGCAAAAAATAAGTGAAACTATCATGTTTCACAGATAACATGGTTTATAGAAATGCTTATAAAATCTATCAAAAGCTAGTGGAAGTAACAAATGAGTTTTGCAAGGTTATGGGATAGTCAATATACAGAAGTTAGATATAGCTCTATTAATAAAGTAGTGGAAATTGAAATAAAAAGTAATACCATTTAACATAGCATTGACATACAAAATGTTTCGAGATTGATTTGGCAAAATAGGTCTAAGTCTTTTTTTTTTTTAGCTTTTTTAGTCTATCATGCCTGTGGGCCACAGGTTAGACATGGCTGTGTGGGGCTGCACTATGAATCCTGACTCTACCACTTACTAGCTATATTGCCTTGGGAAGGAATATTTCTCTCCAAATCCATTTTCATGCCTATAAAATGGAGATAAAATACTTACCCGCAGGACTATTATGAAATTTGAAGCCTACCAAGCCCAGGGCTTGGCATATAAGAGGTGGTCAATAAATGCTAGCTGCTATTTAGGTCTAAGTCTTTGACACTAGAAAACTATAAGCTGGGCCATGGTGGCACAAGCCTGTAATCCCAGCACCCTGGGAGGTTCAGGTAGGAGGTTTTCCCACCCAGCCTGGAGGATTTAGCGATTTAAAGACACCTGGTTTCAAAATTTTAAAAAAAGCAGAATAGCGTTTAACAGAGATTTGAGAGTCTATGGGAGAAGCGACAATGGGGAGAGATTGGTAATGATGGGTAAAAGTTATAGGTAAGAATAAATTCTGGTGTTGTATTACACAGAAGGGTAATTAAAGTTAACAACAGTGTATCATATAGCTTCAAAAACCTAGAAGAGAAGGTTTTGAATGTACTTAGAAAGAAATGATGATTGAGATGATGAAAAACCCAAATATCTTGATCAATACCGAAAGATGTAAATATACCAAAACATCACACTGCACCCATAAAGATGTACTGTATAGTTATTATCTGTCAAAAATAAATCAGACTAAAATTAAAATAATTTTGTTATTTACATGAATAGAAAACCTGGGAGAAAATATTTGTAAAATACATCCAACAAAGAAATTAAATGTAGGGTTTACAAAAATGCTTGTAAGATAACCCACCTTAAAAATGGAAAGACAGCTGGGCATGATGGTTCATACCTGTAGTCTCAGGTACTCAGGAGGATGAGGCAGGAAAATCACTGGAGCCCACTAGTTCAGAACCAGCCTGGGTAACATAGACCCCATTTCAAAAAAAAAGGCCAAATATGCCAAAAAATACATTAACAAAGATGATATATAGATGTCAAGCACGTGAAAAGATGCTCAACAGCATTAGTTATTGGAGAATAAATAAATTAAAACCAGTTAGATATACTATACTCCCACTAAAATGTCAAAAGTTAAGAATATCATGTGCAGTGAGAGTAAAGACAGGAAATAACAGCAGAACTTACACACTGCTGGTAGAAATGTAAAATGCTACATCCATTTTGAGATGCAGTTTGGCAGTATCTTAAGTATATACCTATCACATTTGTTCCTAGGCATTTATCAAAGACAAATGAAAACTGTGTCCACACAAAGACTTGTATACCAATGTTTTTATCAGTTTTATTTGTAATAGTCAAAAATTAGAAACACAAATGTCCATTAATACACGAAATGATAAATTTTGGTGTATCCATACAATGAAATACCATTTAGCAACAAAAAGAAATGAAAATACATGTAATAACACAAATGGATTTCAAAATAATTATACCTAATGAAAAAAGCCAAACAGGTGCCCCTGGGGTCATTCCATTTATATAAAGTTTTTGAAAATGCAAACCAATCTACAACAGCAGAAAACACATTAGTGGTTGACTGTGAATCATGGAAAGTGTAGGGAAGGAGGACTGGATGACGAGGAGGCATAAGGGAACTTTCCAGGGGTGATGGATATGTTCACTGTTCTGTGGTTTGAAAGCTGTATACTCAGGTCAAAACTCATCAAATGATACACTTACAAACAAGTTCCGCTTATCACATGTGAATTATACAATAAACTTGTAAAATATGTTTTGAGGACAATGGGAGAAATTTGAAAGTGGTCTGCATATGAGTTAGATTGATAATGACATTCCAATTATGTGGGGAAACAAGATGCTCAATTATTTTAGGATATCATGATATAGTGTCTGTAACTTACTGTCACTATTTCGGGGAAAACTTTAAAAATACAGTGTTAAATCAAGGCAAAAATGAAACATATGTGTACTCTATGGTTCTTTCAACACGTTAGGAGACAGGGTCTCGTATGTAGTTCAGGCTGCTCTTGAACTGTGTAGTCCAGGCTGGCCTCAAATTTCCAGTGATCCCTCTGCCTATGATTGAAAATGTACTAATTATCATGCACCAAGTACATACGAGAAATGTGATCATTATGTAGTACAAACATAAAAAGAATTACTTATGTAAAAATTACATATATGAAAGGGTCCAAGGGATACAGGGAGAGGAAGGGAGCAAGAGGGAGGGGGTTAAAATGAATTAAGAAATGTTACATAATGTACCAACTTCCCACAATGAAAGTAATCATTATGTACTATAAACATATACCAGTGAAAAAGAAAATATAGTCATTAAAATGTGGAGGAAAACTGTTTTATTGCCCATTCTCCTTTTCAGATATTTTATTACCCTAGAGTGCAACCAAATCTCCTTTGGGAATGTCTCCAGAGAGGGAGACATTCTCTATCTTTACTATTCTGGAATATAAAAAAATCTGAGAAAATGAGTTGTTAATGAATAAACATGACAGTTTCAAGGAAATTGAGTTAATAGGAAGCTTAAATTGGCTTAATAGGCATAACACAAAACAAAAATGATACGAAATGAACGTAGAAGACAAAAATATCTTACATAAGTGATGTCCCTGAAGAAGAAGGAATGGATCTGAAAACAGTTAAAATAAAACTTCCCTGAAATGAATGATTCGAATGACTCACTATACCTAAGATAAAATAATGCACAAAGATCAGGACCAAGTCATATGCTTCTATTAGATCCTTAAATTTCAAGAATAAAACTGAATCATATGGCAGAAAGGCACATTATATACAAGAATAAAAGAGAACAAGTTTAAGATTTCTCAGTGGCATCACTCAACATTACCATTAGGATATTTATCAAGATCTCAGTATAAATCAGGAAAGCATAATCACTGCATATTATAAAATAAGGGATTTTAAATATTAATAAAACCATGCATAATTTATAGTAAGATATGGGGACATAAAGGTATAAAAGGAAGAGCTGAAAGATTAGAGAAGTCATTGGTATTGGTAGATTAATCAGACCTTTCAAGAAAATCTAAACCAGGAAAATCCAGCTGCTAAAGTGGAACTCTGAAGGGGAGCTAACCAAGTCTATGAAAAGCCATTCCCTCTGTCAGCCTGGGGCCAGTGCTTGTCAGCAAGGCTGGGAGTGGACAGACAGTCTGCGTATAGAGAGTAGAAAGTGCAGAAAAAATGGTATCTGCTCAGTAACTCTGTCTCTGTCCTTCACTGTCTCTAGTCTCAAAGAACTTAAGAAGGAAGTTTGTTCCTTCCCTTTGACCTCCCAAATCTCATATAATTTCTCCCCCTTCTTTTTGAGACATGGTTTTTCTACATAGTTCAAACTGGCCTTGAACTTAAGATGTAGACCAGGCTGGCCTCAAATTCACGGTTATCCTCCTGCCTCAGCCTTCTGAGTGCTGGGATTACAGGCATGTGCCACCATGACAGGCATAATTTCTACCCTTGACCAACTCTCATTTTTCAGTTTAAACCAGTTAACAACAAAGCAATCCAGCCTCATGACCTAATATTTTTCTGACAGAAAATTTACTTTATGGTTAAATAACATCATTTGAATTCAGAAATTTCTTTAGATATGCTCAGTTGTTTTTAAATCCATTTCCAAAATAACATGTATCAAAGTCAACAATAACCTCCTGGTCACAAATTCAAGAATGTTTCCATTTGCATATGAATGGAACTTCAGTTTGAAACAGGTTTTCCACTGAAACATCCCTTGGAAATATACATCAGTGAGCCCTCTTCTTGCTTTTACTTTTCTAGCTGCTCCTTTTCATGTCCTCTCTAAATGAATCCTTGACACTGTCTTCAAATGCTGGTAGCACAAACTCCAAGTCCTGGACTTGCTTTTTCTGTTAATTCTTGCGGTGTCAGTCTGATAAGACTTATATGCCACAGATAAGCTCTCAAATCTCACCTCATCTCAAACAGAGAATCACAGCGGGACCTAAAGAGCTTCAGTAAGTCGTATGTATCTTATTTTCATGAAGAACTATGAGCTTCACACATAAGTGCATGAACTTCTTGATAGGGGTTGAATCGTATCCTCTTAAAAAGGTGTGTGGACATTTTAACCTCAAGACCTCCAAATGTAACCTTATTTAGAATCTTTGCAGAAGTTAGCAAGTTAAAATGAAGTCATTAGGCGGCTGTGAATGTGATATAACCTTACAAAAGGGGAAATTTAAACATCAGACAGACACACAGAGGAACACAATGTGAAAACTCAGAAAAAATGCCCATGTCACTGGAGTGTTGCATCTCCTAGCCAAGTAACACCCCAGTCTACCAAAACCCAAAGAAGGGCATGAAATATTTCCTCCACCAGCATCTTGAGAGGGAGTCCTGAATAACACTTTGATTTTGAAATTGTAACCTCCAGAACTATGAGACAATAAGTTTCTGTATCTTTGCTGGACGTGGTGGCACACACCTATAATCCCAGCACTCAGGAGGATGACACAGGAAAATCACTGTAGTTCAAGGCTAGCCTGAACTGCATAGTGAGACCCTGCCTCAAAAAATAAAAAAAATTAAAAAATAAATTTATGTAGCTTTAAATCACCTAATGAGTGGTACTTTATAAAGCACTCCTGAGAAATAAACACACATCTCAGTCAAATCTGAGATAGGTACTAGTGTGAGCATCTTTTATAGCTACAAATGTCAGGACAGAGATGTAACTAACCTGCCTAATGTTACATCCATAGTAACTGGTAGAGCCAGGACAGAACTCTATCTAGTAGGCCAGTTAATGGGTCTACCTCCAGTTAATGGGTCTACCTGCCTAACCGTTATGCACACTACCTCTTAACATTTTTGAGATAAGGTCTCGCTATGCTGCTTTGTACTCATGGGCTCAAGTGTTCTTTCCATCTCAGCCTCTCAAGTAGCTAGGACTATAAGTATGCATCCTCTTGCACAGCTTATCTCCTAACAGTTTTAACTGCATTGTTCCCAGTGACCAAAAAAGGTGAAAATGTTGATGAATAAATTTTAATATGTAAATGACTGAAGTTACTACATATATGCAACCATTAAGTTATTGCTGAATAATAAAGCAAGATATAGAGATGGTTGTATGTGATGATGCTATTTTTGAAAATCAAACAATCTGAATAAAACTTCTGATTACAAGCATGACATATATACATATATATTTATTTATAAGCACAGATTAAAACATAAAAGTGCCCATAGAAGTTGAATAGTGCTGATTATCTGTTGGAGAATAATGGAGGAAATTCAGTAAATAATGCATTTATCAGTTTTTCCTGGGTAGTAAGTCTACCAAAACTTAGACTTGAAACAATAAACATTTTAATCCATGATTCTGTTTTCTGGGATGAGTAGATTGTACAGCAGAGCTTTCCTAATTTGGGCCAGCATATTATAAATCTCTTATTGTGGAATTACTCTAAAACTTAGCAGCTTAAAACAAACATTTATCATCTCACATTTTCTGTGGGTCCAGAATTCAGGTATGGCTCAGAAGGGTGACCCTGGCTGAAGGTCTAACGTTATAGTCAAGCTACCTAGCTATGGTTTTATCTGAAGACTGGACTAGGAGAGGACATATGTTCACTCCAAAGTGTCCTTCCACAGGGCTGAGATGACAGGCTACTTCCCCTAGGGTTCTCCTCAGAATTCTCTGAGAAATCAACATTGAAAATACAAGCCAGTCTTTTTGTAACCTGATCTTAGTTGTGTCTCATTTCTGTTCACTAGAACCAAAGTTCTAGATCCAGTCCAAATTCAAGGGGAAGAGCAGGAATACTAGGAGGGAGCAGTCACTCATGGTAAATTCAGAGGATTCTGAATTGAGACAGCTGCCCACCTGCCTTATCCAGGATTGGATAGCTAGGCTGTCGGGCAGTTAACAATCCAGCTGGTCTACAGTGCCTCATCTCGGACAGTTTGTGTCTGCTCCATCACTGTTCCATGAGGTCTCTCATCTTCCAACAGTCCAATCCAGGCCTCTTTACACATGGGCCCAGGGTTCCAAAAAGCAGCAAGATTGGGGAAAACTCAATGTACATGTACTTCTCAAGCCTCTGCTTGTTTCATATCTGCTAATGTCCTATTGGCCAAAGAGACAACCAAGCCCAGTTTCAAGGGTTTCAGAAACAGACTATATTTTGATGGGTGAAATGGCAAAGTCATATTAAAAAGAAACTTAATTCAATCACGGTGGTCAAAGGAGACTCTATGCTTCTAGCTTCTGCCTAGGATGTAGATATCTGGAAACAGCATCATTCTATCCTTATAATAAGAAAAAAAGCTGAGTCTACAAACTCAGAAGTTTTCGTGAACCCACCAGAAAGCTAATGTCACAGAGGAACCAACTAGCTCAAAATATAAGAAAAGATAAGTGCTTTGCAGGAGGCAGGCAATTATCACAGGATTGCCTGTGGCAGAGCAGGATGATGGGGGCCACCATATGAACAGTAAAACTCAAGAATTTTTATGACTTAAAGGTTGAATGTGGGAGGGAGTGTGGATACAGACTCCCTAAGGACTTTAGACCTAAAGGTCTACATACTTGCAGGCTTTTCCCCCCCACAAACCTCTGCTGGGTGCTTACAAACACTGGGAGGAGGATGAGAAACAGGAGAAAGCCTCTCTCCAATGGTATAGACCTACAAGGGGAAAGCTGTCGATATAGAAATGACCCAAAGCCCCAATGGGACCCTACTTTCCTATGGAACAAAATCCTTAAGCACAGGGGACAGTACATCAAACTGTTGCCCTTAGATCACAGGTGAAGTTTCACTGTGATGGGAGGAACGGAAAACAAAAATAAATCTACCCATGATGGAATGGGAGGAAACTATCCTCGGCTCAGACCACAAGGGGCAGGATCAATGGAAAAAACCTACTCTTGAAGACCCAGGGATATAGAGCAACTCTTGCTCCTCCTTCCACACCAGGTCAGCAAGAACCAAGTAAGAACAGCCAATTACTGCTAAGGATGAGACAAGAGTATGGAAAGAGACCCTCCCTGAAATGCAGACACACAGGAAAAGCCTTAAGGCAAGTGTGGTCTAGGATCATTGAGAAAATTCTCTGAGAAACTAGTGTCTGTTATATACACAGGGTAACATTAGAGGAGTTAGAAGTCTATGATACACTGAAGGTCACAATACTAACAAAACAGAAAACCAGCCCAACTGCTGACCAGATGGACTCAATCCCACCATGTCAATGGCCTATTATAAGAGTAATCATGCCTATTTCCAGGAATAAATATTATTTACCTCAATTTATACTAGCCTATATACAATGTCCAGCATTCAGTCACAAATTATTATATGTAAAACAGCAATAGAAAGCAATCCACTATCAAGAGATAAAGCAATCAAAAGACCCAGACTATGGGCCAATTACTGGAACTATCATACGTGGAACTTAAGATAACTATGATTAATATGTAAAAGTTACTATAGACTAGATGTTTGTGTCCTCTCAAATTTTGTAGGCTGAAATGTAGTCCCCATTGGGATGGCATCAGGAGGTAGGTCTTTGGGAAGTAGTTATGTTGTGAGGATAAAACCCTTATCAATGCGACTAATGCCCTTATAAAAGGGACCTCGGAAGGCTCTCTACCTCTTTCTGCCAAAGGAGGATACATTGAGAAACTGGTACTTTGCAAGCCAGAAGTGGATCCTTGGCAGAACCAAAATTATACTGACACCATGATTTCAGACTTCCAGCCTCCAGAACTATGAGAAATACATTTCTATTGTTTGTAAGCCATCCACTCTATGGTGTTTTCTTAGCACAGTCCAAATTAAGTCAAAGGAAATAATAGAAAACAGGAACAACATACATAAACAGATGGGAAATTTGGCAGAAAAATACAAACTGTAAAAATCAAATGGAAATACTAAAGTAAAAGATAAAACAGCTGAGATGAAAATGATGTCAATGGGTCAGTAGTTCTGAAAGAGCCAGGGTAGGAGTAGAGATCAGTGCACTTGAAGATAACCAACAGAAATACAAAGATAAAGGCTAAAAGCTACATACACAGAAAATTTTGTAGCATTTTTCTAACACAGTACCTCTTTTGGTTACAGATTATTCACAATACCATCCCATGCAAAGTATGTTTACTTCTATTCCAGGACCTTCAAATATCTAAGATTATGGTATCAGGCTCCCATCTAGGGTTTTGGTCTTTTGTCCTAGGTTGAACTGGGACTGAGGCTCTTTGGCCAGAGTTTTTCAGTTTCTTGGTCCAGACACCTGTGAGCTATATGACATCACCTCCCATATATAAATGGTTGTATAGTGACAGAATAACTGAAATACTCCCATTAAAAAAGAGGAGGAGCAAGAGGCACGTTATCAGTCACCTTTTCATAGCAGTTTTGAAATCCCATAGAGCAGATGCTAGTAGGACCCCTTGCTCCAAAGGCAGATAGGGCTTCTTGATCACGGCACAGGTGTCCCTGGCGATGGCTCCACAGTCCATTTTAATACATCGTCCTTGGGTCTTCCCTCTGAAAAATCTTTCGTTTCTCATGAAAAACAGTCCATGTTTGCAGATGAGTAACTTTCTCGGCTTATATCCTTTTGTAGAACTTAGAAGGGAAGTCGAGAGCCCGTTTTTCATTTTTAATTGGTTCAGACCCTTTCAGTTCAATCTAGAGGTAGTTTCACTCATAAAACTCTACCACAAGCTTTATTGGTTTCCTATGGATCTGATTGGATCAACATCATAACCCAAATGCCACACCAATTCTTAAGATATGCTTTTCTCAGAGCAGTAGGTCAAGCTATAGTAAGATAATGTCACAAAGATTTTTAGATGCCCATTAGTTTAGCTGAGAGACTCTCACAAGCACCAATACAATACAATGTCTTTCACACGGCAATACAGGGTCTTATAGACACATCCATGATTTGATATTTACCGAGGCCATTTTCTACTTTGAGACTATTTTGATGGCTGGAGAAACAAACTATGTGAAACAACTATTTCCCAATTCAGCTCTGGCTTTTTCTGTATTTCTTCTGATTCTACTTGCCAGTAGGACAGTTACTTTGTTATTTCTGTCTTTCTTGTCCCGTTATATAGAGTTAAAAAGAAGCAAACTGACACTTCCCATATTCTTCTGAAAATCTTCTTAATCAGATCCAGAAGGTCATATGACTCACTCTCTATCTTCCTACAGAGAATGGTAACTGTTTTGCAATTTTTTCTTACTAAATGATGTGGGCTGCCATCTTTTCCAGCCTTTGCCAACAGTTTTCCTGATTTTCAAGTCTTTACCTGCTGCCCAGGCCCAAAGCCAATCACACATGTTTGGGTATAATATACTCCACACATACATACTTTTAAATATATTTAGAATTTGTATGTGACAAACTATCCCCAAAACTTCCTGCTTACAACAGTGATCATTTTATTTGTCGTAATTTTTCACAGTGATTGGGATAACTAGAATAACTATTCTGGGCTAAGCTGGCTTTGCTAGGGCTAGAGGTCTAAGAAGGCCTCACTCCCATGTCTGATAGTTGGAGGCTACTTGGGGGTTTCTGAGGCCTTGGATGGTCTGGCTTGCCTCTATTCTGTATCCTGTTTTTTCCCCCTAGTAGGGCATTCTGAGCTTCATCACACAGAGGTTTCAGGATTCCAAAGAGCAGCAAGAAAAGGTAAGTCTCAAGGCAGGCTTTCACACTTCTCAAGCCTCTTCTTCAATATCTTTGCTATTGTCCATTGGCCAAAACAAATGATATGGTCAAGTTTAAAGCCAAAGAGTAGAGAAAGAGATGCTACTCTTCATAAAAGCAAAGGAACATTGCAAAGGGGCATGCATAAAATTATGGAAGGATCCTGTGGCCATTTTGCTTTGTACAATGAAAGAAGACAGAAATACTATGTCATAGACATTAGTATGAATGAAAGGATATTTACATATTCATGTGTAATTATACTTGCAGATGTGTGCATATATAAAACTGACTTAATTTGAAGAATCACGCAATAGAAACATGTAATAGACATATTTGATGGGCCCAAGCATTCTAGATTTGAAGAAAACCTTTCAATTCAATTATTCCTCCTGCTATGCAATGTGTTCTGCCACAGACACCCTATAGAACTCACAGTAGGGGTATGCATCAGATATATTTTCTTGTCTAACTTTTCATTTTATTACTTTGAAATATTTATTATAACATAGTAAACATGACTGTCACTTACATAATTTTGCACCCTCCTTCCTATAAAAAATTTGGTAACAACTTGCTTTACTACACTTCATAAAGAAAGGCCTATTTCAATGCATCAAAATGACATTTTTTTCAAGTATGAGTTCTACTATATTTTATGAGACTGTATAAATATGGAGATTCTGTCTCCTTCAATGCATTATTAAGAGGGTCTTTTCTAAATAAATGTTCTCATCTCAGATAATACAGCCTGATTATTGCTTCTTCTCATATACTGTATTCATCTAGTATCTGTCTTGGATAGATTGTGTAATACACACTTAGACTTGACTTTTGTGATAAAATTCTCTCATTTCTAAGAAACAGGGTTCTTTCATGTATGAATATTACGATGCATACTAAGAACTGATTTCTGGGTGAAGCCCTTCCCACAGTCACTGCATTTATAGGGTTTATCTCCAGTATGAATGGTTTGGTGTTTATTGAAATTTGACCTGTCAGTGAAGGCCTTCCCACACTCTGCACATATATATGGCTTTTCTCCTGTGTGAATTCGCTGATGTACTTTGAGATGTGGTTTCTTAGAGAAGGATTTATCACAGTCAGGACATTTGTAAGGCTTCTCTGTAGTATGAATTCTCTGATGTGTAATTAACTCTGACTTCTGGATGAAGGCCCTGCCACAATCTGTACAGACATAGGGTTTCTCTCCAGTATGAATGGTCTGGTGTTTATTGAAATTTGATCTGTCGGTGAAGGCCTTCCCACATTCAGCACAGATATAAGACTTCTCTCCAGTATGAGACTTCTGGTGAGTATTGAGATTTGACCTGTTAGTGAAGGCCTTCCCACATTCAGTGCATATATAGGGTTTCTCCCCTGTGTGAATTCGCTTATGCATCTGGAGTTGGGACTTAGAAGGAAAAGATTTCCCACAGTCACTGCATTCATAAGGCTTCTCTCCAGTATGAATTCTTTGATGGGCAATCAGATGTGCCTTTTGGATGAAGGCCTGCCCACATTCAGTACATATATAGGATCTCTCTCCTGTGTGAATTCGCTGATGCATCCTGAGTGTTGACTTTTGGGTAAAGGCTTTCCCACACTCATTACATTTGTGATGTCTCTCTCCAGTATGGATTTTCTGATGTATATTGAGAGCTGAGTTCAAGGAGAAGGCTTTCCCACATTCACTGCATTCATAGAGTTTTTCTCCATTATGAGTTGTTTGATGCCTAAGTAGAGATGACAGCTGGAAAAATGATTTTCCACATTCACTGCATTTATATGGTTTCTCTCTAGTATGAGTTTTCTCATGAGTCAATAACTCTGAATTCTGAATGAAGGCCTTCCCACATTTAGTACATACATATAGTTTTTCTTCTCTATGAACTCGTAGATATATACTGAGTAGTGGTTTCTGTGTTAAAACATTTACACATTTGTTAATCTCATGAGGTTTTTCCACAGGATGAATTCTTGGAGGTGCAAAGAGGTGTGACTTTTGAGTCAAGATCTTCCCAAATTCAGTACATGTGTTTGCTTTTTCTCTGACAGGAAATTTCAGATTTTGACTGAGTTCATGTTTGAAGCTGAGGACTTCTCCACACTGATCACTCTTGCAGGAGTTTGCTTCCCTGTACACATTTTCATGGGAAGTATAAGAAGAACTCTGGGCAAAACCTTGACCATGGCTAACACTTTTGTCAAAGTTTTTCACTGCATTGTTTTTATTATGAATATGTAAATCTAAATGATGCTTAAAATGCTTTCCAAATGATTCATATATATGGAGTCTTTTCTGTGAAGGAATAAGATTTGAGCTTGGATAAGTGCATTTATCAATGTCTGTAGAGTCATAATCCCATTCTGTATTCAATAATTTCTTATTAACAAAAGCAGCGCGACTCAGAGAGTTGTCCTGTTTTTGTTGACATTTTTTTATCTGCTCGGCATGTGGGCTCAGTTCTTCTAAAATGGAATACAATGAATTGTCCCTTGTATCATCACCCTCAAATTCCCTATGAAATGTAGTTTTTCCAGAAAATCTTGCTTCCGAGTTCCTCATCCCAAATGTCCAACCTAAATGGAAAAAGAAAGTGAAATTGACATAAAGAATAAATAGCAAATTAAAAGGCAAACATAAACTAATCCAAATTGAACACATGTAAATTAGTAAATCTCATGATGATGACATGGAATATATATATTTGTGGGTAAAATGACAGAAAATAATCATGATATGCTTATATATACACTTGCCCATTTCCTGATACAAATATAACTGTTATATATTGTGAACACTAAGAATGAAAAATATATGTAGCACTTATTACATGCCAAATTCTTACATGATACTTATAATATTCTAGGCACTGTTCTAAGAAATACTAAGTCCCTGACTTATGAACATTTTAGTTGCAAACTTTCACATATACAAACAGACGTTGCATTATGAACATTCATAGATGCAAATAAATCACAGCAGTTCCACAAGTCTGCTGGACACTGTCACAGTTGTTTGCTGTGTGCTCACACCTGTAATCCCAGCACTCAGGCGGCTGAGGCAGGAGGATCGTTGTGAGTTCGAGACCAGTCTGGGCTACAAAGTGAGATCAAGGCCAGCCTAAACTGCATAGCGAGACCCCATCTCAAAAAGACAACAACAACAACAAAAAAAAAGCAAGAAGAAAAAGGAGATCAAAAGTATATCCAAAAATGGAAAGATATTCCTTGTTCCTAGATAGGTAGAATGAATATTGTAAAAATAGTTATGCTCTGAAAACTGATAGATAAATTTAATACCATTGCAATCAAATATTAATAGCATTCCTCACAGAATTAGAAAAACCAATTCTAAAATTCATATGGAAACAGAACATAGAACTAGCATAGCTAAAACAATCCTGGGCAGCAAGAGCATCACAATCCTAGATTTTAAGTTATGTTACAAAGCTACAGTAATAAAAACAGTAGGGTACTAGAACAAAAACAGATATATGGAACAGCGGGACAGTAAATAGGAAGCAGAAACAACCTCAGGCAATTGAGCAATCTAATCTTTGACAGAAGGGCCCAAAACATATATTAGAGGAAAGACCCTCTTTATCAAATGGTGCTGGGAAAATTGGCAATGCACATGCAGAAGACTGACTCTAGACCCACATCAATTAACATGTAATAAAATTAAAAGAAAATAGATCAAAGACTTAAATTTTAAAACAAAAATGCTTAACTTGTTAGAAAATAAAATGAGTTATACTCTTAAAGACACAGGCAAAGACAAGGACTTTCTGAACAGAACACTAATTGCACCAGAAATAACATCAAGAATCATCAAATGGGATTATATCAATTTAAAAGTTTCTGCAAAGGAAACAACAAACAGAGTGAGAAGACAATTACAAAATGAGAAAATATTTTGTCAGCTATCCCATTGACAGAGGACTAATATCTAAACTATATAAAGTACTGGAAATTCTGGAAAGATGATAGAGTGATAAGCAGCAACAAATCTGCCTCTCTTAAGATTCAGAAATTGGATATTGGAAAACAGCAATTTGGTGAAGAAAAGAAGGAGGGACGTGGGTCCCTGGGACCCAGGAAGGATCTGAAGGGAAAATTGGCGCCTATAGAGAAATTGAAGAGACAGACATCAATGGAGAGGGAGGAAGGGGCAATCTGCACTTTTTCCCTGGCTCCTGGTGTGTGGCTGGTGAGTGAGTTAAGGAAGATTGAATCTACAGAGACACTGTGAAAGCAAGTGACTCCAGAAGCTTTTAGGAAAAACACACCAGTGAAATAGAGCAGTGGATGCTGTGTGCTACAACAGCTAGTGAGTGACTCCAGATCAAGTGTTTACCCTATCCAGTGGAGAGAGTGGTTGGTCAGATACCATTTTAGGGAAAGGCCAACTGATCGTAGGACCCAGAGTAGCCACAGGATGTCTTCATCTCAGGGCTCACTCTATTAAAAATACACATGGACAGGGTGAGGGACAGCCAAAGGAAACGTCTATGGTCAGGAAGCAAGTGTCAAGCCAGCAAGAAACATCCAGACTATTAAGTGACTGAGACCCCATTCCCATAACCAAAGATCAGATACAACCTGAATTTCTGTGGATTTTAAAGTTCCAGAACTGGAAACCTGCTTTTATCCTACTGTTAACTTGCTAGTGACTACTCAGCATGGATCTGGGCTTTGATACCCTCTGTTGTCGACCAGTAAGGGGAGTTATACCTTGAATTAGACACAATCACAAAACTGTAAACCCCAGAAGATAACAATAGGCTTGATATCACAGATAATGCTTTTCTCTCTGCTTCTGTTTTTTTTTTCTTTCAGTTAGTTGGTATGTGTGTGTGCTCTTGCGCGTGTGTGGTATGTGAACATTGTTTTGTTTTATTTTGTTCTTTTAATTTTTCCTTCTTTCTTTCCTTTTCATCTTCTTCATCAGTTTCCTGAGGCTTGGGCCATCATCTTATGTCCTTAAGCTTTGTTTATAATTACCTTTACTTCCTTTATTTCTCCATTTTTTCCTCTTGTACTTTTTAAATTTTCTCCACTTAGGGTAAAACCATTCTATTAAGTGGATATTTACTGTATATAATCTTTTGATTTGTCTTAGATTTAATTATATAACTATAAATCTTGAACCTATAAAGGTAACAAATTATTAGTTATCTAAGTTTGTTGTTTTCCAGTCTGTGCTTGACGCTACTGTTATTACTGATTATACAACTTTAGCCAAGGTGACATAGTTGTTGTGATCAATTAATCTTTCTTTTTTGCCAATATCCAGACTGTCTGGGGGTTATAACAAATACTATGGTTCAGTACCAAAAAATTTAGGTGCTATATCAAACAAGATGCAGCCTTTCATTCCTAATAAACAGAAGAGGCAGGATCCTGAGACAGACTCAAAGACCAAAAGTCAGCTATACCTAGAAGACATCTCTAAAAATGGTTATTTTCTAAAGAAGTCTTGAGATTCATAATAAAGCTACTTTTCATAAGCAATTTACAAGCATAAATGCAGAAAACAAGCAAAGAAAAGAAAATGAGAAAACATGCAGGCAAGATGCAACCCAAGAAACTCAACGGATCCAAGGAAGGCACTGAGGTGGAAAAAAAATCAAATGCCACCCAGCTGAACTTTCTGAAATAGTAGCAGCAGAAGTAACAAAAGTAAGTCTGTTAACAAAGCCAAAACATAAATAAATACACAGATAATTAAAGAGATGAAGACCATAGGAAATGGGAAGGAAATGGTTAATCTATGTAGATGCAGATAAAAAATATAGGAGTTTTAGGTAAGAAATGAAAACCATGAATGCCCAACATACAAGAGAACTGCAATGAACTGGATTCCATAAAACAAACTCAAATAGAAATTCAGGAGATTCATTCCTGCAGTGAGTGAGTGTGTTTGCAGCTTATCTTGGGTCTCGACAATATAAACTACTTACGAAGGCTCTTCACTTACCATAAACATGTCTAGAAATTTACTGATTTTTGAGATTGGAGAAGATGGCAGATTGAAAAGTAGCAAGGTAGGGAACCTCTCTGACAGAAACAGCTCAGATGCCAGAATTTACGACCATGGAGAATACTGGATGAAGGGAGCAGGATTCTCACAACCCAGGAAGAAACTAAGGGAAAAAAAAAACAACAGAAAGGAAAAAGGAAAGAAAAGAAAAATGTGGACTCAAGGCTGGAACCAGACGTGCTCTGACCAGGGCAGGTCCAACTTGTGGTCACAGCACTCTCACTGGAGCTGGTCAGATTCACGGTCATGGTGCTATCATTGGAGTGGATCAGAATTGCAGAGCTCTCACTAGAGCTGCAACTGCACTGAAGTCAGGGGTTGGCAAGCCCAACGAAGAACAGAGCTGGTGTGGAGACCTGCACTAATCTGCAGCAAGTGCTCAGAATTTGGTCCTCCTGGGAGAAAGGGGTGACTGACTGGACAACATATTGGAATTGGGCAGGATAGGCCTGAACAAGGAACAGCAGTGACTTCAGTGGGCAGGCACCTGCCCAGAGCAGATTGGTGGAATATGCTTGGGCTGGATTATGCCCCTGGCCATTATCCTAATAGCCAAGAATGAAATTGTCCTGGAAGTTGTCCCTAACTGGTTCTGTCTGCATGGCACACACTAACGTGGTGAAGGCCCTTGCTAGTTCACTGGCTGGGAGAGGAGGGGGAAGAAACCAGAAATATGACAAGAGAAAGAAATAAAAAAGCCACTAGCCACCAACCCAGAGAAAATGGGTCCAGGAGAGGTAAATACAGAACAGATCAAGGGAAGCAAACATACAATATCGGACCCTATAAAAAATACTGAAGGATATTCTAGAGATAGAGAAAAATACCATGGTTTCAGGAACAGTGGCAGAGAGGTCTCAATGAATGGGGCAGGAAGTGGAATGCAGGAGAAAAGTAGAAAACCAATGTCAGAAAAATAACATAGCAGAAATGAGGCAGAGAACGTTGGCTATAATCTCTTAACATAGATGGCCTTGATACACTAACAAAAAGAAACACAGGCAGAGTAGATCAGGAGATAGAGGCCATCGAGAAGGTCTGTATAGGAAATATAATTAACCTGAAAGAGGGTTTATGGACTGAAAGTCAAATATGAGAAAGCAATGCTCTATGTGGCAGGGAACCAGAAAGAAATAGGTGCAGCTCATCCAGGAGCTGCAGAAAGATTGGAAAGACGGCACTTTTGTGTAGTGGAGAACAACCCAGCTATAATGAAGGAAAACCTGGAGACTTTTGTAGGTAAAAGAATACAAATTAAGATCAAGCCCGGGGGTAAAATGGTTCAGAACCACTTAGGTAAATAGCAAGTTGCCCCCTTAACCTAAAAACTAAAGGACTTAGTGGGACCCAAAATGGTACAACGCACTCTGCGAAAGTGAAGGAAGTGAATTCTTGCTTGTGGTTATTTTTGTTTGGAAATTATTTGTTTGTCACTGAAGTATTCTTTGAAGAACTGTGGAAGATGGCAGAAGCAGTTTTCATTGATCTGTTTGGCCTGGAATTGGACTCTCAGGAAAACTGCCATCAGACATTACTGAAGACACTAAATACAGTCCAATACCACCATGCTGGCAAGGCTCAGTTCCTGTGTATAATATGTTGCAGTAACATGAGCTGCGAGTGGGATAGTGAACATAATAATTGTGAACTGGAAACAAGCAATGAATTTTCAGCCTTCTTGAATGACTTTGAGATTGTTAGTAATCCAAGCCTGGCTGCCTCTTTGTACACCGTTAAGCAAAAAATTAATGAAAAAAATGTGAGCAGTATTAAGGTGATTGTACCGGTACACAGGACAACACTAATGAAAGCTTTTATTGATCAACACTTTACTGAGGTTTACAGTTTTGAGTTTGAAGATTTACAGGTAAAGGATGGCCCTTTGAAGCAGTCCACTGAAGTGATCGCAGCTCCTGAACTAGAAAAATCCAAGATGAAATAAAAATGTATTTGAGAAGTCTGCCATCCCTGAATGGAAAATTAACTGTTATTACATCTTCTCTGATCCCAGACATTTTCATACATGGATTTACTACAAGAGCAGGTGGGATATCTTACATATCAACTCTTAGCTCATTAAATCTCTTCAGTAGTTCCAAACGGAGAGATCCCAAAATGGTTGTTCAAGAAAACCTGCGTAGGTTGGCAAGTACTGCAGGATTTAACGCAGAGAAATTTTACCGAGTAAAGACTGATCACGCCAATGAAGTCTGGATTATGGGGAAAAAAGAGCCTGAATTTTATGATGGAATAACCACAAATCAGAAAGGAGTCACAATAGCAGCTCTTGGTGCTGACTGTATACCTACAGTTTTTGCAGATCCTGTTAAAAAAGCATGTGGAGTTGCTCATTCTGGATGGAAAGGTACTTTGTTAGGTGTTGCTATGGCAACAGTAAAGGCAATGATATCAGAATATGACTGTCGTTTGGAAGACATTATTGCTGTATTGGGACCTTCAGTAGGACCTTGCTGTTTTACTTTTCCCAAAGAATCAGCAGATGCATTTCATAATCTTCATCCTGCATGTGTACGACTGTTTGACTCACCAGATCCCTACATCGACCTCCGTAAAGCTGCTAGGATTCTTCTAGAACAAGAAAGAATTCTACCACAGAATATTCAGGACCAGAACCAAGATCTCGACCTCTGTACATCCTGCCATCCTGAAAATCTTTTCTCCTTCGTGTGAGATGGTCTTAACTTTGGTACACAGATTGGCTTCATATCAATTAGAGACTGAGATACTTGACTGGATTTTTATATAACTTTTCATCCTCCTTCCAAACTGATGGCAAGGGAACAATTGATTGATTTGTGTAAGACTTAGAGGACTACAATGGACAATTCATTTTTAGGGTATATTTTCACTATTATTACCAAATCCAAATGATTTTTATTTAATGATAATTGACTACAAATATATGATTTATAGATGAAGATGATTATAAAATGTTCTCATTATTATATAAATCAGGAATAGATTTTTTTGAACATTTATTTGTCAGATATGCATAAATTAACTAAAATGGCTAAGACTTTTTTCCTTTGAGTCCAATGCACTGCAGAAAACAAGTCTTACAACTAAAGTTTAATTTTAATAACAATAGACAGTACAGAAAGAAGAAGGGTTAATTTTACCCAAGAGGCAGGATAGAAAATGTATTATAGCAAAAATGACACGCGGGCCAGAGTATATACAGATTTTTAACAAATTAAGAACAACCATAACAGTGAAGGAACATCATGAACCAGAGAATGGAACTCTGGAAATTTACACCATGTCCTAGACACAGAACAGTGTGGGCAGAATGAAGACTGGACAAACAGGTTAGAAATAGATTGGTAAGAGTCTCAAATGCCATTTCAAAAGTCTGGAGTTTCTTTTCCAGGCAATTGGTAGGCATCAAAAGCAGAGGAGTGTTTTTATTTCCTTGTTATCTAATATGATGAATTTATATTGTGAGACAAAGCAGAGAGATTAAATAGGAGTCAGTAAAAATATTTCAGAAAAGGATGAAGTCTCTACTCTTTAAAGCAGTAGAAAATAAAATGGAGAGTAGATGGATTAGAGAGACTATTGGAGAGATGGAATCAACAGATAATAGAATTGAGAGGTGAGGAAGATTAGGCAAGTCATTGATGATTCCATAATTTCTGCTTAGGTAGTTACCAAGATTACCTTTGTACTATATGAAATATATAGGTTGGGTGTTGTCCTTTATACTTAGCTGAGAAACTGAGCCTCCTACAGGTGAAGTTTAAAGTCATGTAATTTGTGATAAGACTGGAACATATATTTTCTGATTTAAATTTCTCAGATTGGGGCTGGGGATTTAGCTCAGCGGCATAAGTGCCTACCTTGCAAGCAGGCAGTTGTGAGTTCGATCCCGTGAGTTCGAGCACGATAAAAATGAAAAAGACACACAAAAAAAAATTCTCAGGTTTTACTGTTAAGGCTACCTAAATTTTATTTATAACTTTAATATTCTTTCTTCATAAATCATTTAAAATTTTTGTTGAGGTACTGGGATAGGTTAAACAGATTTATAGACATCAAGATGTTTAGTAAAGTGAAAGTTAATAAGCCAGAATATTGTAGTATGTGTTGTGAATTTGCCATAGCTTGGTGTCTTGTTTAATTTAATTCCTCTGTGCATCTGATAGCCCAGTGAGAAATTTGAAATAAGTAAAATACTTCATTTCTTACAATTCAGGGATGGCATTGATCACATATAATACAGAAATTTCAGATTCATGCAAAATACTGTTTTGTTTAATGGTAACAATAAAGATTAAGAAATAATTTCACATATTGAGAAAGCTTGATGAGTTTCTAATTCACTGTGTATTATTTTGTTTAAAGTTGTAATTTACAGAATAGCAGGCAGTCACATTTTATTTAATATAATATTCCATAACCAAATAAATTTATTTTATTATCTATGATTTTGGATTATCTGTGCCAAAGTATCTAATGAAAAGTTGTCTCATTATTATTACTGAGTGAGAAATACTGATTCAGTAACTACCAAGTTGTTAAGCAATCATGTCTTATTGTCTCTGCAGTATCCTTGCAGGATATAAAATACTGATGTCTATTAGGTTTTGTTTTTAATTTAGGTCCTACTAAACTGCACATAGGTAATGTTGGCTGCCATTTTACTATAAGCGGAGTTAATCTGTGAATTCAGTGATATTTCATTGCATGATTTCTATTGAATTGCTATCAAACTAAAATTTAAGAGACCATATGATAAGAACGTGGTCTTTTTGTGTCGTTTTAAATTGTTAAGAACGGGAACTGTCAGCTTTATAAAACTAATGAAATAATTTTAACACTAGGGGGCAGTGTTTCTACAAGTAGTGCTGTCATTTTTTGGCATAAAGTCAAACCAGGCTTTTTCAGCCAGTGTAAACTTGGTTTTCATTAACAGTCAACTTTTTATAAACACTGTATCTAAACATGCATATATCAGTTACGCATTTTGAACAATTGCTTCCAAAATAAAGATAAATTATTTTATTTCCCTGTGCTTTGGACCTCCCTTGGGCTAGAGGGAAAAGTTGCATGTTGGAAATCAGATTCAAAAGAGAGGTAGTATCCCCAATGTGCGTCTGCACCCAGTCGCTTTCACAGCACCAGGTAGAGTGAGTGTTCCCCAAGATTGGAGCTGGCCTCCCACAACCAAAGAGCCAAATTCAGAAGTATCCTAGTGATGTTAGGGTTTCTGGGTACAGGCTGAGTCGAGAGAGATGGCTGGTAGATGATACCCTCAGACCACAACCCACTCTCACTGCCTAGGCTGCAATGACTTGCCCTCCTGGTCCCCTGATCTCCTGGGCCAGGGTTCTGTATGGTCTGCCAAATGCCACCCCCCACTGAAGCCAGGTACAAGCGAGATACCGCTAGTTGTAACATCCCCCTGCACTCAGAGAACAAGTGTACCCTCAGAGTGTGGCTAAAACGCAGGCTTCACTACGGCAGAGTGACCGGCACACCCTTGGGAACTTAATCTCTGGGTACGTGTGTATGTGTGTGTATACTCGTGCACACACAAAAATGGGGGAGAATATGTTTTAAAATTGGTAACACTATTATATTTTAAATAGATAAAACATTTAGGAACCCTCAGCTACCTCACTCTTCTGTAGAACTGCTAACAACTGTTTTTATGGGGATAGATTTGGTGGTGGGTGGCTCACAAGATTATACTGTGTTACATGACAAAAACATAATACTCCTAGATCCAAGTGCTATAAGATGGAAGAGGACAGTGACGTATGTGTTACATCATTTTGAATCTCAAACTTTATTTTCACTTGTTTTTTAAAAACTTCTTACAATGTACCTATTTTAATTTTTGTGTGAATTCAGAGAGTGCTACAACAGTCCAACACTTTAAATAAAGCACTGCTTAATTAAAAAAACAAACAAACAAAAACAAACTGGCACACAAAAAGTTCTGATGGATATTCTATAAAGATACAATGAAGACAACACTTCCAAGAATCTCAGAAGAATGAGCCAGCAGGAGAGCCAAGCATCCAAACAGAAGGAAAAGAAAGGGAATTAACAATAAGAACCTAATACAATGATAAAGATAAGACAATACTTCTGAGGTTTTTTGTTTATTTAGGTTTTTCGTTTTATTTTATTTTAAAGAAATTAAGACAAATGAGGACAGAAAAAAGCAGATTAGAACAAAACAATGTAAGCAACACAGTATTTCACCACAAGACAACCCAATATTAACAGTAGCTACCATAATGTCTCTTTGTTTGAAATAGTTGAGCATACCTTCACATACAATAGTATCAAACATAGCAAAATAGTATAAAACTACTCAAGAGAATGAAAGTACTATAGCTCATTCAGAAGCAAATAACAGAAAATGAACAATGACTACTATATTATCTCATTTTCCATAAAAATTTGCTTATATTTTCACACATAGTAAAATCCAATAAGACACAACATGATAGAACCACAGGAAACTGAACAAAAGCCTGGTAAGACTTCAAAGCAAGATGATATTAAATCATCAATGGCTATCATAATGTCTTGTTTTCTTCAAAATAGCTGTTCATACCATCACAGATTAAAAAATTAAACAAAACAAGAGTAAAAGCATCCCAACTAATGAATGAAAACATTATAAGGCTTCAAAGCAATGTAATAAGGAATCATGATTACCATAAAACCTTATGCATTCTAACCAATTCTTATACTAGGGAAACTATTCGGTATTTAAACATGTGAGTTTATTTCACTTATGAGTATGGTCTCAAGCTGTGTTCATTTATTTATAAATATCTCAATGTGATCATTCTTTATAACTGAGTAGTACTCATTGTATAAAAATACCACAGCTTTTTATCCATTCCTCAGTTGATGGACACTTAGTTTTTTCCAAGATCTGTCTATTACAAATTGTGCTGCTGCAAATATGGGTGCACATATATCACTGTGGTATGATGTTCTCATTTCTGGGAATATGCCTAGAAGTGAAATACCTGGGTCAAATGGGACTTCCAATCCCAGCTTTTTGAGGAATCTCTAGACTGACCTCTACAGTGGTTGCACCAGTCTACACTCCCACCAACAGTGCAGGAGAGTTCCTTTTTCCCCACAGCCTCTCCAGCATTTGTTGTTGGTAGTTTTCTTGTTCCTGGCCATTCTTTCTGGAGATGGAATCTCAGTGTTGTTTTAATTTGGATTTCTCTAATGACTAATGATGGTGAACATTTTTTAATGTATTTATTTCCCATTTATATTTTTTCAACTGAGAACTGGGTATTCATCTCAGATGCCCATTTTTGGATTGAGTGTTTGAATTTCAAGGGTCTGATTTTTTAAAATTATTTACATGTTTTAGACAGAAGTTCTTTGTGTGAGGGACAGTTCACTTAGATTTTTTTCTCAGTTTGTGGGTTTTCTTTTCACTTTGCTGGAGATATCTTCTGACATACTGAAACTTTTTAACAAGATGTGATCCCAGTTATTGATTCTGGGAAGTATTTCCCATGCAGTTTGATTCCTGTTCATGAATTCTCTACCTACCCCTATGTCTTCAAGATTTTTACCTAATTTATCTTACAACATATTTAGTGTTTCTGTTTTAATATTCAGATTGTTGATTCATTTAGATTTGAGTAGTACATGGTGATAGGCATGGGTCAATTTTTAGT